GCAGTGCACAAAATAAGAAAGATAAACCAAATACATAAATTACTGACAAGGTGGATTAAATAACAACAATTGCAAAAAAGTGTAAAAGGATGTGAAAAAAATTAAATGAAATGGTAATAGTACCTACAAAATCATTTTGGTATTTGATCACTGTTATTCATGACAAGTTTTCCATTAGGCTGCGTTTGTTTTCGGTGTAAATTCAGTTTTACATGGATGAAAAATGTGATTCCGGTTTAGTGATTGATGGAAAATGGAACCGGGGGTGTCTTGGAATTTTTCTCTAATATCATTTGGTTGTTACGGTGTAAAAGTGAAAGGTTTAATGCTCATTCTGCTCTGAAACTCTCCCTTCGAACTTAGTTAGATTCAAAAGATAATATGGTGCTAGTCTTTGGAACCCGACATCAGAGATAGACGACGATTGCAAAGACTGACATCAGCTTCAACCTTTCCTTGATTTGCATGGGCTCTGATGCCAGAACCCACCACGGTGTGGGCAGTGGAAGGCGGATGAAATCGGGAAGCATGTGCAGTGGTGGTCGATCTAGAAAACGAGAAATCTACAACTGGTCTACATCGAAGAAGGGGTAATGAGGGTGGTGCCTGAAGGGAGCGAGAGGTTCATGCGGGTCATGAATGGAGACCTGGTTATCATCGGCCAAGCTGGGAATGTTTGGTTCGGCCTCGGCTACGACGTCCTTGAGAGTCAGCAATGGGACACCTTTCGTGAGATCCTGAAGTGCACAAATAGGGTCTATCTCAGTAACCAATACATAGGCATCAGCTTGCTTAACGGCGGCAGCACAACCCTTGCCGATATCTCCATACCTGCAGATAATTGCTACGTTGCCGACAATCATCACGGAACAGAGCAATTAGATAGGGGAAGAACTAGAGTTAATTGTGCGTTTCCCAGAATCGGAACAATTAACCACAAATTTGGATTATCACAACCAATCTTTTATATTATTATGATTTGATGATATTAAAACTAGAAACTCAGATCTAGCAGATTTTGAAATGGCGATATCTTGAACTCAGGTCACCTAGTTAAACAGACAGTCTTGAAGATCTATAAGATTACTCGATCAAAACGAAATTTGTTCTTATAGAGAGGAGGAGATGTTGAACAGAGGAGACGTTGCAGGAGAGAGGAGCGAAGCTTGTTCTTTTGGTTGTTGGACGGAGGAGACGTTGTAGGACAGAGAGGAATGAAGCTTGTTGTTCTGGCTGTTGGACGGAGGAGACGTTGCAGGACAAAGAGTAGAGAAGGTTGTGTTCTTGCAAAGAGGAGACCGTTGGACGGAGAAGAAGGGAAAGTTTACATCTATTTTACCAACGCAAATTTTTCACTTATTTTCGATGGAAATATTGATAAGAATGAAATTTTACATTGATTTACCAGATATGTTAACACCTCTACCAAACGCATAGAAAATAACAAACGTGGCCTTAAATAGTAACATAAAGAAACAAATATTAATATCATCTCATTCTCATTACCTTTTCCAATGGAAAAGATGTGCTCTTGAAACTTTTAGTAGCTAGTAGCTGAAAGGCCTGATTAGGGAAGAAAAAATAGTATGGAAGTTAGCTCCTCTTGTAGTGATTTGGAGTAATTGAATTGGGAAAAGAGTAAAGAGTCCAAACTTTTGAAAAACATAAGTTTTCTAGACACTTGCATAAAACTTCAGTTGTAAGTCTGCCTGCACCTTCCTTCAATTGTATAATGTAGTTCCAATTCTCCAATGCTCTTCATTATATTTCTTCCTATTATGCATGTTGTTGGTAGGTTTTCTTGATAGGTTTCAGCATTTGGGATTTTAGAGGAACAACGTTTCTAGACTCTTCTTGCTAGATTGAATAGTACAAAGGCATCTCAAATAAAATTTGGCCAAATCGGGATTGATGATGACGAAAAGATCACCACCGTGTAGTTATCTAACTAATAAAATTTCGCCAAATCGGGATTCAGATAAAATTCAAATATGATTCGAGATTAATATCATATTATAAATCGAATTCAGATTTGTAGTTCTAATTAAATTATTAGATCAGATTCGTACACAGATGGATCTACTTCTTATTTGACCAGTTCTTGGTTTTTCCAGTTCAATCGTCTGGTCCGGTCCGGTTTTGAAAACTATGGTATTAACTATCATTCTCTATCATTGAATCTTCTATATAAGCTATTTTTTTTTTCTCACCGAATAAATTCTAACAATTAGATCTATATCCAATACTTTTAATTACAATATAAAATTTATGCTTTTCTGAACCAACTCAAAATTGAAATTACTTTTCCATCTTGATAGTGGATAAGAAATTAAATCATCTGGGTCAAATGAATCCACTTACAATGTCATAACTAAATAATAAAACTTCTAAAATAGAAATAATAGTTAGAGTTCTATTGAAATTGGTCTATGCAACATCGTCTCCCGGTGTTTTGTTTTCAGTAAAACTCTTAGTTCAAGTAGAAGAATAACTGGAAAAAGGTATTGTCTATCTAGGATAAAACTTTACACACTCCTTGATGGGTTAGGAGTGTGAGGAAATCTATAATTCTATATAAGGAACTCTCCTCTTCTCACAACCATTGGAGAAAAGTTTCCATCACTCATCCATTGAAAAAAAAAAAAGGAAAAGATGAGAAGGCTGGAGATAAGAAGAGAACACATTGCAATTTCCAACACAAGATTTTGGAGTAAAGGACGACTCAAATGATTTGGACACAGGTAAGCTTATTGTTTTGTTTGTTTCCTATAAGCGGGTACTGCTATGGTTATTTGGGTGGTTTTCCAACCTGTTTTGGATGTACAATAAATATAAAAAAATAAAAAAAGTAACGAATTAGGCACATCTCTAATGTTTTATATTAATTATATAAAAGAAAAATAAGTGTAATAAATAATTATTAATTTTTTGAAGACAGAAATGAAATACAAAATTTAAAACTGATCAAAAAATAAAATTATTTTCTTATTTGGTGGTAGGTCAATATTTTAACCTTTCGGGTCAAATGTATCAATAATTGATATCTAATTAAATAATAAAAATTAAGAAAGAAGACAAAAGCACAAGAAATTTATAGAAAAAATGTTTGGGTACATGTCTAATATTGTATATTATTCATATCAAATCAAAAAACAAAAAAAAAATTAAAAAGATTTATAGAAAAATTTGTGTGTGTCTCTACTATTTTATTAATCAAATTAGAGAAAAATAAGTTTGATAAACAACTTTTTATTGATGTTGGCAATGAAATACAAAATTTAAAACTAACCCCAAAGTGAAATTGTGTTCTTGTTAGGGGGTAAGTCAACAATTCAACCTTTCAAGTCAAATGAGTTAATCCTTGATGTTATAACTAATAATAAAAATTTTAAGAAGATTGTATATATTGTAGAAAAGATGTAGGCACATCTCTAATATTTAGATTAATCATATTAAAGAAAAATAAGTGTGACAAAGAAGAATTGTGTTTATTGATGATGGAAATAAAATACAAAATTAAACTGACCCAAAAATAGAATTATTTTCTTATTTTTGGTAGTTCAATAGTTCAATCATTTGGATCAAGTGTGTCAACCTCTAAAAGTTTAAGAAAAAAATAAACAGTACAAAAAAAATACTAAGACTGCATTTAGCATTCCTTATTTTAAGGACTGACTTCCTTTTTGTAGTTAAAATGCCTTTATTAGTACTGAATTTTAAACGATAAAAGGAGATAAATCCTTAAAATAAGGAATGCCAAATGCAAATTAAAAGTATTTGTAAAAAGCATGTATTATAAGTATCAAATTATAATATTTATATATTGAATATAAAATATAACATGAAATATCATATATAAATATGTAGAAATAATTTTTAAATATGTGTGCCGTTCCAAGCCTGAGGACTCAACCTAGGCCCAAAGCCCATAATTTCCGGACTGGGCCGAAAATGATCACTAGTACTCCTTCTCTAGTCTCTATCCAGGTAGAAGGGAGAAAACATGTCTCTTAATGGAGACCGGATTCATTCTTCACAAAATTTGTCCTCACACGGTCACACCATATTTACAACACTTACAGCCGTGCATTTGAAATATCTCCGTAATGCATGGCTCAAAGTGTTGTAAGGATGGTGTGAGGACTGAATCCCGATTTCTCCTAACCTTAAGGTGATGAGTTCCGGGTTCATTCTTCACAAAATTTGTCCTCACACATCAGGAAATATCCCGGTGCTTCATTGCAAGTGACATAAGTAGATGAATAAATCGGGCCTTGCTGGGTTGGTATAACACAGTTTGTGTGTGGCCCGTGCAAAGTATAGGTCATGTCGTGCTAGGTTATGGGCCGTCGGGCTATGCTTACCTCCCTAGGATACTTTGGGGGTTGGTCCGGTACAGCCCACAGCCTGAGCCCATGCGAGGTTGTGCCACACCATAGGCCGGATTGGTTTGTGGGCCAAGCAATGTTTTTCAAAAATTTTGAAAAAAAAAATAATGCAAATTTTAATATAAATTTAAAAAGACGAAAAATTAAAAAAGATCTTAAAATTTATTTTATATGAATTTTGATATATATATATATATTTGTTTATATATGCAATAATAAAATAAAATAATATAATAACTTTGAAAATAAAATTATATATATATATATATATATATATGGATCATGATGGGCCGGGCTGAGTCAAGCCATAAGCTGGGCCGATTGTGGCATACCCAGCAGGACACCCAATATATTGTGTCAAGTCATGCCGGGCCAGCTCAAAATCATGCTAATGGCGGCACAACCCTGTTTCAGCCCTATTTACACCTCTAGAATTCCGATCCATGGTGGGATGTTCCTGTGAGGTCGGTGTAAGGAGCGCAGTATCCGGACTCTCTAGATTGACGTCAGAAAGAATTTACCGCCAATAAGATGGAGCGGTTATTATTAGAATCCAATTTGACGGTGGGAAAGATGTTACTGATGTTGTATCATAAGTTCATAACCCCACTGGTTATAACCGCCTCTCAGACGAAATCCTGTCTTTGCAATTTGGAATTTGCAAATGGAGAACGGACGAGAAGGTGGGGAAGAGGAAACCAGGAGCAACTCGGACTGGGCTGAGTTGACTCACGAGTGCTTGACGAACATACTGTCCCGATTAAGCTTGGAGGAGAGATGGAAGGGAACCATGCTCGTGTGCAAGTCCTGGCTTCATACCTGCAAGGACCCCTCTCTCTTCTCCGTCTTCGACCTCGAGTCCCGATTCGAATCGGGCACCGAGTCGTCTCTCTGGTGGTCTGCCGGTTTCGAGAGGAAGGTCGACAACATGCTTCGATCCGTTGTCGAGTGGAGCGCTGGAGCTCTTAAGGAGATTCGCATCAGACATTGCTCCGATCGATCTCTCGCTTCCGCCGCCGGAAGGTATCTGTTTTGGGGGTTTGTCCATTTTCCTTTTTGTTTATTGTATCTCTTGTTTTGAAATTGCTGCTAGTGTTAGGGTTTCGGTGGAATTGATGATTCTAATTCATGTTCATTTTTTGTTGCTCTTTTTTTTGGTTAATTTGGTTTTAGTTGCGAAATTGATTTGTGTAGTGTAGTTACGGTTTAATTGATGAAATTAATTCATGTTGATTTGTTAGTGCTAATTTATTCATTATGTATGGGATCCCATTTCTTAAATTTGTTAGAAATCTCTCCTTTGTGATGAAAAAATGTGATTCTGCAAATCAAAAGATTCTAACTGAATTTCATTTGCGCAAAAAGAGGTTGGGTTCTTTACAACAGAATCATCAAAACTGAGAACTTTCCTGAGAAGAGAATAAAAAGGAAAATAAATTTCCAGTTCAATTGCTTCTCTAGCCTTAGAAAATTGATGATACCACGTAGTCATCCCTTCAACAGAACAAATGTCATCAGAAGGAATGCATAGTCCAGCAAAGCATGGAAGCCTGCAGTTTTCTATCAATGGATCCATATTGGGGGAGGGGATAAGGAAATGAATGACAATGACAAATACGATAAAGGAATTGCTTTAGGTATTTCGTGTCTGAGTGGACAAGATAAATTATAGATCTTGAATCATGAACTTGTAATAGAAAGGATTGCAGGAAGAGGCGTTGCTTTTTCATTCTGTAGTTGATGATTAACACACCTTGACTTTTTGTTCTTACAAGGTATTAGTCTAATCTGAAATGATGAAGGGATTCCTCGTATTCACTTCTGCTTCTTACATTTTCAGATGTCCAAACTTGCAAGTTCTTTCAATCAAGAGCTGTCAACATGTGACTGATGCATCAATTATTAAGATAGCCTCCAACTGCCCCATGCTTAAAGAGCTGGATATCAGCTACTGCTATGAAATATCTCATGAATCACTGGAGTTGATTGGCAGGATGTGTCCAAACCTCAGAATTTTGAAGCGAAACTTGTTAAATTGGATAGACCCTTCCCAACATCTTGGTGTTGTGCCAAATGATTATCTAAATGCTTGCCCTCAAGATGGGAATGCAGAGGCTGCTGCAATTGGGAAGTTTATGCCTCAGTTGGAGCACCTTGAGCTCCGGTTTTCCAAGCTATCTGCACATGGTCTTTCTTCAATCTCTGAAGGATGTCCAAACTTGGAGTACTTGGATTTATTTGGGTGTTCAAACTTGACTAGCCGGGATATGGCAAATGCATCAGAAAACCTGAAGAACTTGAAGAAGCTTGTCAAACCCAACTTCTACATTCCTCGGTCAGTTTTCCATACTGAGAGATATGGCCATTGGAGGTTGTATGATGAGCGGTTCCAAACTGATGTTTTCCGGATTTAATCAATCAAGTGAAAGAGGATCTGGTGATTCTTGGCCATTAGCTGATGATTGGGTAAAATGAGCAAAGATGCATCACCCATGACCTGATGATCTTTACAACATGGGGTCAGGTACCACAGTCCATGGGTTTCTCTCTTCTGTATATAGGACACATTCTATATGACTATTATGAAATTTAGTGTGTTTTGATCTTGTTTGTTTAAATTGTATTAAATTGTTGTATCAAGCTACTGGATTGTACTATTTCGTCCCAACATTTAGTAATATTTGATCTTCAACTGTTATTGCCAAAAAGAAAATCTTCCTGGTCAAATTTAATTCATTATAGTGTTACTTTTTTAATCTTTCAATAATGAAGGTAACTGTATTTGAAACTTAAAACGAGGGCTCACCAGGGCAAAAGGCTAACATGCAACACAACTGCTCTGTGAGATTAATTACCCTTAATGTCTTCAACAAGGAGAGCCACGGTTCCCTGTTGGCATCATCTAACAAATTTAAGTATTGCTTCTACATCTAAAGAGAGGAGCTTATTACAGGGCTTTTTCTTTTATCAAAGTTAAGGGATTGAGGGATTTGAATAGAAACTTTTCATCCTAAGAACACAACCTCATCAAGCTGGGAGAATGATTGTTGGTAATGCCCTTATGTTTGCTTTGTATAAGCCATTTATGCCTGAATCTTTGCTTTGATTAGTCAGTCATCAAATCACTACTGATGAATCTAACACAGTCTAACCGGACATAAAAAGCAGACACTTCTGATGAAAACTTAAGCTCTTATTCCAATAAGATCTAACCGGACTTCAGATTTCAAAAGGCCAGCATGAGAACTGCAGTATGGTTGTCAGCTCAGGCTCTCGTTTCCCCAAAGCTTTAAAATTCTGTTGAGGATGCTCTCGTGCATTGTCAATTGCTAATCTGTTTCCTGGTGTCCAGTCCATATTTTCCTATGTATGGTAATATTAAAGGTACTATCTTTGGTGGCATTTATGTGGTTATCACTTTATAACCATGAGATGAGGAATCATGTCATTGTTTGATGAATTGCTTCTTTTTATATTTTACTCTCCCATTTAGCTTATTCTGCTGAAAGTGTATTCTTATATTCTGCTTCTTGAAATCTTCAATATAGGTTCATTATAGCAAATCCCTCTAGTACTTTGCAATTTTATTTCATTGATTTTTTACCAAGTAATATTTCAACTATTTCTTCTTTTTAAACTGTTCAACTTTTTCTGTTTCTTTTTCAACTCCCTATTATTTATTTCATGTCTGTTGAATTTAAGGCATGTTACAATAGTTATATGTTATGGAATTTAGTATCAACGTCGCATTCCTGGTGGATACAGATGTATGGAGATCTTGTAACATGATTCAGATTTCTATGCTTTTGAATGTTTTTGATCTCTTACTATACACGGAGGTGCTTCTGCAATGTTAAATGTTATGAATATGCAGCTTGCGGGGGGGGGGGGGGGGGGGTGGATTGCACAAGAATTTAATCTAGGAATTGGACTATAGTTGCTGAAAGATTAGGTTTGAGATGGATGGCATGATTGGTGACTGTGGTTACATGGGTGAAACAAGCTGCGCCTATGAACATCACATGGCTATTATTCAAGTCCTCTATGTACTATTATCTATCTGCTAGGCAGAATAAGCTGCGTCTATGAATCGTGGTACTTCACATTCCACATGTTATGGTTATAGAGTTGGTGGCATCTGTAAATACAAGAAGGCCTTATGCCATCAGGTTACATTGTGGTCCCTCACAATTAGGGAACAAAGCTTATTTGAGTTCTATGGCGACAAGGCTTAGTTTCCTAAGCAGTTTGAGGTGAATCATAAAGCTAAAGCTTGCACACTAATGCAGGATGAAGGAATAAAGAAGCTAATTCCTGCACAATGGTTGGGCTGGATTTGTCGCATGGATGAGGGTTGTGCAGAGCGTCCGGACTCCACTTCAAAGCGGATAGCAGTAATGACCTCCACTTCAAATGTCTGTGACCTTCAAATTAATCGAGTTGCAGTCACTTTTCGATCTATGTAGAAATTCACTCTCTCAATACCTGGATAAGCTGTTCAATTGGGAGATTCTCAGTTTCTCCTATAGCATAACAACCTTTCACGTAGATTCCCAGAAAAGCAGTCTATTCTATGTGCTGCCGCTGCGAAATCCCTTTCATTTCCCCGGCCATCAGCATTTTACTTCTAGGAGCCATGATTTCTTCTTAATATCCCAAGAAGCAAATTCAGACGAGCATTCGAGCATATGAAAAAGACATAATAACTAAGGACGTGAATTCTAGATCATTGATTTGGGGAAGAGAAGGGCGAATTCACCCTTGATGATATAATGGAAGCCATGGAAAGCTACAACCAGAAGTATTATACTGGAGGTGGATCAGGAAACGTTTTCAAAGTGGCACTGTACTAACCATGGTTTTTGAATTGCCGTTGATCCGGACGATCGGATCGTTTGGCCCGAGAATCATCCAGGCAATCGGTTCCATTTTACTCCAAACCCGGTTTTTTGCCAAGAATCATTGAAAAAGTCAACAACCCGTTGGCTCAGGCAGTTGAACCGTCGGCCCGTTCAATGGTTTTTAGTTGGTTTTTATTTTTAATTTTTTTGTTAGAACGGGCTGTTCATTCGAACCGGATGTTCCGACCATCAACCTAGAAACCGTGGCCAGAATATTTCTGTTTCTGGGTCGTTTTTTAAAAAGTTGGTACTAACATAACATCAATTGCTCACAATCCAAACGAGGCATTCTCTTTTTTTCTTTTTACTTTCTTAGTAAGGAAAAGTTCATTAACAACCAAGACCAACTAAAACACAAACACAAACACAACCACCCACAAGACAAAAATCCAAAGACAGCCTCAAGCAACCAGTTCGGAGGATAGACACAACTACTCCGATTGTGATTACTCCGGCAACATCTCACCAGATCCTCTCCTGTTGCAAATATGTGTTTGATCAAACTTGAACTGAACATCTTTTTAGAATTAATGAAAGAAAAGAAAATAACTCCTGCACCACAAAATTAAGGGCAGTCGAATCCTGGCGAGGACAATATAGACTGTCTTCTTAAAGCTTATACCGTTCGTTTGAAGGTTATCAATTAGAGGATTATATAGAATACAATAGATCCACAGTTAGCACTTTAGGTCCTGAAGAAAAAGCCCTTGTATTAGAACCTTTCGTTGTCTTTATACTCTGACTCCTGTCTCCTGAATGCCCTTCTACCATTCTACCCTTCAAATGAAAAATTTCTGGGATAACCTTAAATGGGTATCATCAGTCAGTTTTCCTTGTGCCAAAATTCAAGTTGATTACATCTATCTGAACTGTCTGATTTTATACACCATTTTCAAAGATTTAATGGTCTTTGGTCTGGGGCCCCAGCACTCTATGGTTTGGATTGTGTCAGTTTGCTAAACAATCGGGTCCCATAAACAAATGGGCTCACCAAATGGAGCATCCAAGCTCCATGCAATTAGGGTTGCATGACGCCTTACCCAATCTGAAGAATTTCAACTACATTGGGCTTAGATTTGGGCCCAAGCCTATTCAAAACTTAACAAATGGTTAACTCAACCGGCCCAACTTACACCCCTGTCAAGCATCTCCTTGAACGCTAAATAACACTCTTTTCCACGTGGCACCAGATGATGTGTTCTTTGTCCACATGTGTGTATTGACCATGGGCATCTCAGATCAGCCCTCGGTTATCTAGAGCTACAGCTTAAACCAACTGCTTTGGTTCGCGGGGCACACAAATTCCGATGCCCTAATATTTTCAGCTGCTGGTTTTGTACTGCTGTTAGATGAGTTCGAATGGGTCCATCAGACTTTTATGGGCCCGGAAGGATTCTATAATTGTAACGGTTTTTCTAGGGCTGAAACTTGGGCCAACTTGGATTCAACACTTCTTACATTTTGAATGGGCCGAAATCCAAACCCAAGCCTGATGTTTAAGCCGGACAACCTCAGTCCATCATAGCATCTGATACAGAGATTCCTATTCCAAATTTCAAATTGATGGTTTATATTGACCATAGCAGGGATGATCCCATTATGAAATCCTTTTACCATAAATCAACAAATGGCATAGATTGTAAAGTAGAATCATTTCTTTGATGGATCATTTCAATTATATAAATAAGCTTTATATATAATGGCCCGGATAACCAATTTATAATAAATCTTACCTTAAATCCAGTAGATTCTCTTATAACTAATAATTGGCAGGGGTTCATGCAATTCACTGCGTGTGCAAGAATTTGAGCTGGTGGTGGAGATTAGGAGCTGTTTGATAATGGATTAAGTGGCTGAATTGAATGACTTATTGCTTTGTCTTTTAGTACATATATAATATAATTAAATAATACAATGATTTGATTATATGTTCATCAACCCAAATTTAAAATTTCAACCGTTAAAGAGCTCACTACCTCCTTGATAATTTATTCACTGCAAATAAGTCATTCAATCAGCCACTTCAGCAGACATGGGGAAGGGGTATTAATCAGTTATTTGAGAAACAAGTGAATTTGGTAAGAGAGTAGTTATTTCTCTAACAAATGTTTACGTTTCAATCAATTGTAAATTAATTAGGACTCTGCATATTCCATCTTTCTAGCTGTAGATTTCTTTTGTATAATTGCAGTACTATATTAGATACGAAAAAAAATTTCTAATCATGTATGGAACTAAGAAGGTAGCTTTGCTTGATACAATAGTATTTATTTTTGTGTATATGGGTTTTCTTTTTTGCTGCAATTGTGAAAATGGGTTTTTTTTCTGCAATTGTGAAAATGGGTTTTGTTAGTTACAAGTAGTTGATCTAGAAATTCATATAGATCTACTCATCATGCCTATGTACATCCATGCATGCCTGCATGTATGTATGTATTTTGTTATATACTTAGTGTCTATTGATCATGCATTAATTTAAGGAAAGAAGCTTGCTTTCACTTTTCCAAAACATTAATTTAAGGAAAGATGCAACATTATTAAAATAAGTACTTTATAATATAGATTCTGGCTTATTTAAGCAGGATAACAAAAATACGAGTTGTTTGGAGATGGGACCTGGAATCATTTATGTTGATGCCACCACATATGAACTTGAAATGAGAGAAAGGTAGAAAGAGGGGTATGTGGGACAGCGCAGTTGGTACTGTCATTAACTTTTTATTATTTGTTATTAAAAAATATTTTTATTTATAAATAAATCTGTATATAAAATTATAGTTCACAACTTTTTCTTTATACATTACACTTCCTTTCATAACTTTCCTT